GATGTAAGACCTTTTCTTCCCCCCTCCACTTTGCTTCCTTTTTTTCCTGCAAGCTACCACTGGCAGAACGAATATGACTCAGAAACCGGCTCTTCGGGGTTGTAACATTAGATGATACACCGCTTAGGCCAGGGGCAGTAAACCAATGCCTTTATTTCACTGGGTTGGGCTTCCTAGGTGTGTTGCTGCCCGTGTTCCTGGGTAAGCACACACAGGTGTGGGAAGAAAGAGCTTGCCACCAGCTTGGACTTCTAGGGACCTTTCTGTGGGCTGGAAAGGATTTTAGTGTTAATCTGAAGTTCCTTTGGAAGAGTCGAGAAATTGTCCAGGTGAAGGAAAGCCTGTGAAGAACCAGCATGGGAATCCTATACTCTGAGGTATGTCTCCTTCCTAAAGTTCCACAGATGTTAAAAATTGCTCACGCTCTTCAAATGTAATATCCTATTCTTGTTACGTCTCTCTTCTGTTAAAGTCAGTTTTGATTTCTATGTGAGTATTACATCAGGGGAAAAAAAAGCCCTGCGTGTTAGTCTTTTTGATATTTTTAATATTTGAAGGTAAAATATTTTGGAGTTCTAAAAATGATGAACTAGATCTAAGTCTACAGTGATATGGTAACTCATTTCATGACATCCAGAGGTAATGTGGACCTTACAAAACTGAGTTTGAGTTTGAATTGTGCTTTTCTCATCATAAATACCCAGAGGAAAAGTGAAATTGTTTAGAAAATGGATGTTCTAAACATCAGAATGATTGACAGTTATTTTGTTACAGAACCAAATGAACACCTTTTGGCTTAGTACAGGAAAGGAAATTTACCTCTAGCCATGATTAACAAAGGCTGTCACTATGTAGAATACAAAAAAATGTATCTCTGGGATTTGGAATATCTTCTTTTCACATCTGATGGATACAAAAACACTTTTTTGTATATTGAAAGTAATTTATTAGAATCAGATAGATTTTGTTTCACAAGAATACAAGAGAGTGATGTTTAAATAAGAGTACAAGAATCCTGAAGACATTACTATCTGCACCTCACTCCCTCTCTTCACGATTAACTTGTTGGTCTGCATTCCACTGGGAATGCTCACAGGAATCTCCTAGGAAGGCTTTGATCTTCTAGTATTAAAGGCAGTTTATTTTCAGTTATTCTTAATGCTGTGTTTGTGTGTGTGTGTGTGTGTGTGTGTGAGAGAGAGAGAGAGAGAGAGAGAGAGAGAGAGATAGAGAGAGAGAGAAAGAATGAGAGAGACAGAAGGAGAGTTGTCTTTCTATTAAAAGAAAGTACTGTTGGATTGATTTGTAATTCTAGGTATGTCTCGCTCAGTGAGTTTAGAGTCATGAAGATTATACGTATGAAATGATAAAACGTAAATTCGAAATTGCAGCTATGGGAATTCTCAAACTTCAGATTGTTAAAGCGTCAAGAAGAGAAACTCATTTAAAATGAAGTTTCAAGGGCCAACACCAGAGTCTGTTTCACTCCGTGTGTTGTAAAGTTCAGAAACCTACTTTTTAAAAGTAACGTTCAAGGTGATTCTGATGTCGGTGATCAGTTTATCACCAGGCAAGAGCTTTCCAAATCTTAATGTGCATACTGAACACCCGAAGGGCTTCCAGTGTAGATTCTTTTCTTTAAAGTTTCTTTCTTTCTTTCTTTCTTTCTTTCTTTCTTTCTTTCTTTCTTTCTTTCTTTCTTTCTTTCTTTCTTTCTTTCTTTCTTTCTTTCTTTCTTTTTCTTTCTTTTTCTTTCTTTCTTTCTTTTTGGAGAGGTTTTTTGCTATAGGGCGCGTGCTCTCACCAGAAAGATAGAGACAGAGAGACAAAAAGCAAGAAATCACCCCCCAGGGGGGATGGTCACACCGCAATCCCTTCTCCTCCATTCTCCTCTTGGGATCTTGGGCATGCACGTATACGCGCCCGGCGTGAGTTTTAAACCACCAGGTCCGGGACTCAAACCATGGTCGGCTACATGGGAGTGCAGCAACATAACCATTATACTAACTGCTGGTCCTTTTATATTTTTTCTTCAGAGAGAGAGAAAAAGTTATCCCCACTGAGCCTTCATGCCCGATCTACTCCCTGTCTCCTTTACCAGTGTTAACAGGGAGACCTGGGGACATGAACCCAGGCCTGCCCATGTGGCTTCAGCACCGTGTACAGCTGCCCATATGTGCCTGGCTCAAATGCAGATTCCTGTTTCACAGGTCTGGATGGGTCTCAGATGGTGCCTGTCTGCTCCCTCATGCTTATGCTGCTGGTCCATGACTATACTCTAGACCCTGGAAACAATGGCATTTAAAAAATCAGTCTCTGCTGGAGCAGGGCAATTGTCTGTTGGTGGAGTGTCAATTTGGCAAGTTATTGTGTCAGGCTGAATCACTTCCAAGTATCAAGGTGAGAATTTACAGAAGTGGAGTAATTGTTTCATTGTTTAGGTACATACATTGTGGTCAAAGTAACTTGGAGTTTTTTATGAAATATAACTACACACATACAAATATACACTATGCCCTTTAAAAAGTTCTACCCCACCTAGGTAATTATTCACAAGTCATAGTTAGTACTGAATCAAGAATAGTCTGAGATATTCTTTTTTTTTGAGAGATTTTTGTTATGGGGCACATGCACTTGCCAGAAAGACAGAGACAGAGAGACAAAAAGAAGAAATCACCTACAGGGGGAATGTCAATGCCGCAATCCCTTTTCCTCCATTATCTTCTTGGGATTTTGGGCATGCATACACATGTACACGGTGTACGTTTTAAGCCACTGGGACCAGGACTCGAGCTGCAGTTGATTATCTGGGAGTCCAGCGACATAACCATTACACCATTACACTGAGATATTCTTAAAATAAATGTCGTTGTTGTGCAAGTCAGGACCACAACGGGGAAGAGGGGGAGATTCTAGGCCTCTGGAGCTTTCTGGAGCGTCCACAGTATAAAACACACGACCCATCTGGAAAGTCAAGTCATGGCCATTTCCACAAAGAAGATGATTGTTTCTCCTTTTCGTAAAATGATTTCTCAGTTTGGGAAATTTCTGTTTGATGTCAACTTTTTGTTTCGTTTTGTTTTGCTTCTTTTTCACTCCAGGGTACATGTGCTTGCCGAAGAGACACAGAGAAAGAGAGAAGAGGGAAATGAGAAATCGCCCCCTTCCCTAGCGTGGATGGCCATACTGCCATCTCTTCTCCTCCAGTCTCCTCTTGGGATTCTAGGCATGCATGCACACACACTCAGTGTGATTTTCAAGTCTCTGGGTCTGGGACTTGATCTGCTGTTGACCAAGTGGGATCCAGCGCCTTAACCTCCTCTCACCTAATGGCCCTTTTTCAAATGTTTATACCCAGACTGACATTATATTTTGAAACAATCAGGATTAGAATAATCTAACTTGAGTTATGAATGAAAAATGCTGAATAGAACTGAGCTTTTTTGGATTCGAAAAAAATTTTGCTTGCGTTTTCCAGTTGTATGTGAGAGTTACACATAAATTATGAAAGGAAATGTTTAGTCTTAGCTTCTGGTATTCTCATACGTAAAATCTCAGCTGGGACCTTCTCTTATGTCATTTTGGTTTATTTTTTTACTATTAAGTTTTATTTCTGCCATGAATGAAAGAGACAGAGACACACACATTCAGACACAGAGAGAGCACACCTGACATGGTCTTATGCCACCATCACACGCCAGCCTCTGCCAGCTGTGAATCAGGGACACATTTGTGCTCTGTGGACTCAGTAAGGTCTCTGAAAGTGAACCCAGAGCCTTCCCATGAGTCTGTCTCTCAGAGATCAGGGTTTTACCACCGCGCCACTGTCTGAGTCTTCTGTCTGTAAGCTCTGGAGTATTTTTTTCCAAATATATAAACACAGCCTACTCATCTGGTACATCCCAGTCACTCTGTGTGAAGACTGTGAGCCACTGATTAATGGGGAGGGAAGGAGCCGGCTCCATCCCTGGGTCGAAAGTTCAAGTTTCCACTTTGCATGTGGGAAGCTCCTCTAGACTGAGGACATAGACTTATTTTTCTGTAAAGGCTTACATTGTTAACAGTTATGTAACAAACTTTAATTTTTTAAGAGAGATTTTTGCTATAGGGTGTGTGTACTTGTGAAACAGAGAGACAGAATGAAATCACCCCCCAGGGGGATGGCCATGCAGCAATCCCTTTTCCTCCATTCTCCTCTTGGGATTTTGGGCAAGTGCACACACATGCTCTGTGTGAGTTTTAAGCCACTGGGTCTGGGACTTAAACTGCAGTCGACTATGTGGGACAGTGACATAACCGTGATGCCATCTGCTGGTCCAGCAACATACATTTTTTTCTTTTTTTTTTGAGAGGATTTTGCTATAGGGCGCGTTTGCTCGCCAGACAGACAGAGAGAGACAGAGACAGAAAGCGAGAAATCACCCCCCAGGGGGGATGGCCACGCCGCAATCCCTTCTTCTCCGTCTCCTCTCGGGATCTTGGGCATGCACGCACACACACCTGGCGTGAGTTTTAAGCCACTGGGTCTGGGACATGAACCACGGTTGACCACATGGGAGTCCAGCGACATAGCCATTATGCTAACTGCTGGTCTGGCGCAACATACATTTTTAAGAAGGAAGAGAAGGAGGGGACATTCCAGAGTTGGTCATAAGATCCACACCAAGGGATGAACTTAGAGCTCATGTGAAGACCTAACTTTAGAATAATCAATTCCAGCTATGCAAACTGAACTTTAAAACAAGACTTGTTCATTTAAACCCTTATTAAACATATTTGATCACAGTATTTACAATAATAAGAAATATTTATCTAGGTCTATATCCCAGACCCTAAGCACTTTATATGTATTAATGTATTCAATACTCACAACCTTATAAGAGAGTTATTATTATTTTTCCTATTTTTACAATTGAGGCCAGGATAATAACTTCCTGAGAGTTAGGCAGTTGGAAAGTATTTACTGGCTAGAGGCAGAGGTTGGGATATGAGACCTATATTTGTGTATTTAGAGAAATTCTTGTATCATTGCTGGACTGGACTGAGTTACTGCTTGCAATCTCAGTAGAGACACCATGTCCCACAAAGGAGTTGGTTTTAACCACTCTGCCATTGTGCCTCTTCTTCCTCAGTAAAATAGGGTCCTTCTGCCTAAATGGAAAGAATGGACCAGCTCAATTCAGGTTCCAATGAGGCACGTTCTACTACCTTGCTGAGAACAGCTGCACCGCGAAGTATGGTGGTAACTGGAAAGAAGGGAGGTGTTGAGAACTTAACTCAAGGAGCTGAGGAACACCTACCTGGGAGACCAACAGTCTTCTGCAGACTCTTGATCCTGTCAACTATGGACACAGGCCTCGAAAGGAATTCCTAAACA